TTTATGATAAGGGTTTGCAGTTAAGATGGAAAGAGTTAGCATTGGCTAACTAGAGTATGTGATAAAAATGTACTGGAATTATAAGATTTTAAGATATTGTCAGGATATGATAACCAAATCCGCAATGGATCTGGATACAGTTGCATATTTGGATCATAGTAATGTGGTATAGTAAAGGAAAAGGAAGTAAGAATTTGTATATTTAAGTAAAGCTGAGGATTGATAAGAAGAGTTTGAGAATGTGTATATCGATGATCAGATTATAGGACACAGGAAGTCAGAATGTTGAGTTTAAGCAAAAGAAATGAAAGGGATTGATTTAAAGGATCAGATACGATAAATATGGGAGTACAGAGGACAATTTTGATATAGAAATAAGACAAGTGTGCAAGGTAATGTGAAAATATTGTTTGACTTCTTAAAGTATATGTTTAATCACATTGAAGAAGATTTAAAGTTGTGTTTGGTCAAATGATGACAAAATACAAATTGGTATGGTTATAAGGTAATTAGAGAGTTATGAAGAAATATATGGATTTATGATATAGAGTGATAAGATGGATGTACTGTCAACGTAATGAGTGACACTATATGGAATTTTAGAAAGGTCAAAGGAAAAATGCATAATTGAATGAGAGAAAAGACAACAATGGATTGGTATTACTGGTTATTGTTTATATGATAAACAACAGAAGATGAAGGTATAAACGAAAAAGATAGTCGGAAAACTAAAGGATTAAAAAGTAAGTTTCTTATGATGATAAGAAAGTATAAGTCAGGGAAGCAACATAAGAACATTAGAAGATATGTTATTACTAAGATGTGCAGTGAAAATCCGAGGACGAATTTTCTTATAAGGAGGGGAGATTTGTAACATCCTCAATACCGGGTTAGTGATCAAGTTGTAAAGTTTCAGAATTTGGGGACTAAAGTATAAGAATGAAATAGTTCAATGCTTATTGGATATATATGATGAAGGTTAATTAGTAATTATTAAAGGAAATTAAGGGTTAAATGGTCATTTGACCAGAAAGATTTTTATATTCCTTTTTAAGGGTAATATAAACGTGGGATATGTGAGAACCATCCAGAGTGCTCTTCTCCTTTCTTCTTCTTCATACGTGGGAGAGCAAAGCAAAGGTAAGTTTAATTTCAGTTGGTTAATTCTTGAGTTTTAAGCTTAGTTTTGATTCTTTGGGTATTAAATAAGCTTAAGGAAAGCTTATATGAGATTTAAACAATAAGATAAAGGAATTATGAAGGAATTTGCCATATGAGTTTTAAGATGAAATTTTGATATGGTATGGTTGTTGAAGTTTTATGGATGAATTTGACTTGTCATCAATCTAATTAAGAAGTATGAAGTGTTAGAATGGGAATTATAACACATTGAAAATTTGGTATGATTTTTGAATCTTATATGGATGATAGGATTTTGAGGTTTAAGATGAAATAAATGAATATAGATTGGTTTAAGTATGTGTACTAGAGTTAAGAATGAAAAGGGGATGATATATGAAGTGTTTGAGTGGAAATGAAGTAATTTTCGGGTTGAAAATATGATTTCTGGGCAAGGGGAATCGGTACCCATTCAAGGGGAACCGATACCCCTTCAAACGAACAACATTTCCAGAATGGCATGAGGGAATCGATACCCCCATAGTAGGGAACCGATTCCCCCTAAAGGAAAATGTGAATATTGGTTTAATAAGTTCGTTTAAGTTGCTAGTATCCAATTACAAGGTGTAGGTATCTAATGATTGCCTCAAAATGTACATGTATGTAGATTCTACGCATAAAGCAACTCCGGAACGTTTGGCAAGTAAGATCGATCAAGGAAAGATAACAGATCGATATTGACTAGTGAGGCCAGGTGAGTGCGTACTATTAGAATATACGTATTGTGTATGGAAATTTGACTTGCGACAAGTCTGTTTCCAATATGTTGAATATATGATTGTATGATTATGTTTATATTACATGAATATGTTTAGTTGTATTACATGTTAGGTGGTATGAATTTATATGATATGTGTTATATGGCAATGATTTATATGATAACAAGAGAAAGGATATAAATTACATGAGTATATATATATATATATATATATATATATATATATATATATATATATATATATATATATAGGAATTGTATAACCAACTTATGAGATTAAATGAAAAGTGAGATAAGTTAAATAACATTGATTTATAGGGCAATATAAGAATGATATATAAATGAGGAGACGTTGACAGAAGTGATTATATGAATATGTAAATACGTTATATGGAGATGATATATGAGCGGAATTGAACATATAATACATGAGTCATATGGTAAAGATTTATGAATCTATAGGAAAATGTTATGGGAACTATGTGATGATAAGTTATGAGAAAATATTTATATAGGTAACAAGCTATGTGATATACTTGGTGTATGAGAATCATATGAGAATAAGAGATGACAATGAGTTACATGCCAGATGAACACAAGAGAAGTGTTATAAGCTACGTGACAGATGATTATGAAATCATACGAAAAGTGAAATGTACATGTGAATACATGTTAGTGAAATAAGCTATGTGAACTAGTATAAATAGTATATGTGATTACATAAGTTATATGATATAAACATGTGATATAAGATATAAGCTAAAGAATTATAGGATATGAGATAAGACAGACATATGTGGTTATAAGAGACATGATATGAAAAATAGGAGAAAAGGAAAATGTGATATGTGAAAGTGAACTATATATATATGAATATGAGAAATGATATAAGCCATGTGACATGATCTATATGATTACATGAATATGCAATATGTGATACATGTGATATGATATGAAGTATATGGTTACACATACATGTGGTATGTGACAGAAGAGAAAGAACAAGTGATATGAAATGTTATAAATGATAATGCCCATGTTATGTGATATGAGAGCTAGGGGTATAGTTGGCATGCCAAGAGTCGAGGGTTTACCTATGTTTTACGAAACATATGGACAGTTTTAACTATGTCTTTCGAGACATATGGACAGTATACCTATGTTCTAAGGAACATATGGACAGTTTACCGAGGATCTTTATGACCTCTGGACAGTTACCGAGGATCTTTATGACCTCTGGATAGTTACCGGGGTCTGTATGACCTCTGGATAGGTCCTTCGGGACATTTATATGAGCTGTGGTGACAGCATAGTGGTGCACAACCTCAATAGACTCACATATCTACAGTTCTCACAGGTGCACATGGGCTAATAAGAGATAACATGGAATGTAATGTATAAGATATATGTGATGTATATACTTATGGTGATATGTCATGTGTTGCTTGAATTATGATGATGTTGATAAAGATAATAATATACATGGGCAATGCAATTGGAAGACAAACGAAAAGTGAAAGTAATACAAGAAGATATGTTGCGTGTGTGTATGACATGATTATATATATTGTTATCATGCAATAGATACATGCATATTGAAATGTCATGATTCAATGGTATGAATGCACGTCCATGAATTTATTGTTATATGTTTAATTATTGCCTCACTAAGTCAACGACTTAGCGTGTGATTGTTTCACACGTAGGTTTCGAGAAGAATAAAGAGTAATGCGGAGCAAGACAGGTCAGTTCTCCTTACCAAATGTCAGATCAGAAAATGTATGTACTGTTTACAGAGTGTAGTTGGCATGTAGTCTAAAGATATAAATGGTATGAACTCTGATATCTGTTGTAAACGTTTTGAAATAATTTAAATGTTATCAAAGTTTTTAAATTACTCACTATTTTATACGAATAAATGTTTGAAAAGTCAATGTGACACTTCGGACTCGTATCCGGATCGGATACGGGTTGGGGGTGTTACAACAACATTGGGTCTGAACCGGGTCATTTGCAATCAGACCTGAACCCAAATTTTTGGACTTGGACTACTGGACTTGGACGTTGATAGGAATTGGACTTGCAATAAAAATATAATTAAATAATAATAATAATAAAATGCAAATATATAATGATATATTTTTTAAATTTCAAAAACTATATTATTATTATTATATATATTTTTTATCTTATATTTTTTACTATTATATTTTATTTTTAAACCATATACTATGTTTTCTAAAACTATATATATATATATTCCAAACTGTTATTTTATAAAACTATATTATCTATATTTTCAAAACTATACTATATATATATCAAAATTATATTTATTTTATGAAACTATACTCTAAGATGAAAACACATGTCTACAATCAGATTGGATCGGAACCAGTCGGATTCAAATAAAATTATCATCTTTAGTCCCATCTACTATTTTATCCATTCCCGTAAAAATTAATTCTTCTTCTTCTAATAATCAAACAGAAAACAATATGAAAAATATTTATTTATTTGTTTTGGCAAGCCCTTCCTTGTCTGGGACATAAAAAGAAATCTTTGTATATTTCCCTTATCTCCCTTAATTCCCTTAATTCTCTTTTGTTTCTACAATTTGGTTGCTTTTTAAGTTTTCTTTCTTATTTTCAAGTACTACCACCACCATCACTCACATCACCCCAGAAAAGCAATTTAATTCGAGAAAATACATAAATTCCGACCAATCAAAATCCACCTCTTTCTTCCATTTTCCATCCTAAATGAGCAAGGATTGGTAAGTCCTTTTCTTGTCTTTTGCAACTAGGGTTTGATTCAATGGTTCCTTCCTGATGTCATTTTTTATAGTATTTGATTCTGCTGGCATACTTCGGAAAGTAGAAAACAGTTATGCAGCTAATATCTTTATCACGGTTCCTATGTTTTCTATTTATATCTCTTTGCCATATACATTTTCTTGGTACTTGGAACTACATTTTTTTGTTGTATTTCCTTTGGTTTGAGCTGAGAAGCTGAGATCTCTAAGTATTTTGGGTTTGATTTCTTGTGACTAAGCACCAATTTTGTTTATCTGCTTCGTAGCTTAGTAAAGGAACTTTTTTTTCGTGTTCAGATTTTGATTTTCCATGGAAATTATTGTTGCTGTCCTTGTTTACTTGAACAACACTTGGGTTTGTTCTTTGTTTTCAGGGTTTAGATAAATTATTGTCCAATATGACGAGAAAAAAGATTGAGATAAAGAAGATACACAACACTGCGGCGAGGCAGGTGACTTTCTCGAAGAGGAGAAAAGGGCTTTTCAAGAAAGCTCATGAGATTTCCACTCTGTGCGATGCTGAGGTTGCTCTTCTGGTGTTTTCAGCCACCGGCAAGCTCTTTGAGTACTCCAGCACCAGGTTTATTTTCCATGGCTCTTCCCTCTTGTATCATATATATATATATATATATAAATGTGGTTGTATCATATTCATGTGTTCTGTACCTGCTTGTTTTTTATGGTAGATTTGGTTTGAGATGAACTGTGGGGGTGAGAAAGGTTAATTGCTTTGGAACAAGATCTGCAGAATCGAGAGAACTGTATAAACGTCTAATTTCATGATTACTAGAAGCTTATATTTCTATTAAAAATTAAAAAACAAAAAACTTGTTTAAATTATTCATGTCAGAAACTGAGTGGGTCTTAGGGTTGGGAGCCTGGCAACTGAGAAAGGCGATTGTTTTATCAAACTTGTTGATTTCTAGTTCCTAGTTTCTTGAAACCTTGTTTCAAGCTTTCCATGTACCTTCAATTCCCACTACCATTACAAGAACCTTTGACTCCAAGTTGATGTAAGTTCAGGATGCATTGCAATAAACCCACACTAGGTAAGACAATATAACCAGCATTGACCACTCAACCAATCAATGTATCTTAATGTGCAAGAGTTTTTAGTTTATACATGTAAATAGATATTAGATTAACAGTAAAAAGTAATAAGATATTTAAAAAAAAAACAAAAACATACATTCATATATTTATTTCCACTCATCAAACTATCTCTAAAAAGGTGTAAAACTTTTAATTTTACACCAAGTCTAATATATATATTATTAAGACAATCCATTAAATAAAAATGAAAACCCGAAAGCAAGGGTGCCCTGGAGTAGTAGAAACAAAAGCAAAATAACTTAGAAAAAGAGAATACATCAGATGGGCAATAAACATGGAAAGACAATTTCCCTAATTACATATGATGCATACTTATAAATATGGAAAACAAGGCCGGTTTTCCTCTTCTTTTTTATACAAAGGCTAGTCTCTACTTTTGCAAATGTACCTTGGATTGGTCGAGTTCAAGGTTCTAGGGTTCCTTGTAGTTTAATAATTATAATTTACAAGTTATTAATTTCCCTTATATTTTCCGTCTTAACATTTTTTCCCAACCAATAAATTCATGTTTTACTGCTGATATCACTCGGTTTAATAGATACTTGCAACCTTGCTATTCACACATGGATTTATTTAAAATGTTTTTTATTTTTACATTAAGTGTAATAGTCTAGAGTGATTATAAGGTAGTATCTATTAAAATGTTTTTTAGTCTATTAACAACTTACACACACCTTGAAGATGCATATGCTTAAATCTGAGTTCTCTAGAGAGAACAATTTTTTTATCCACCGAAATCACTAAATTAGTTCGATAAACTTATTATAATTTTTTTAAAGTTGAAAATATAATTATAATCGTTACATTGCAAGAATCCCAAGCAAACTACCGAGAAATTGCTCCTTAGATCACCATGCATACATCAAAGATTAAGATGTTCTTAAGTGATGCCCATAAGAGCGGATTAAACCTTACTTTATTATATGAATTAATTTTTATATTGAATGCATTGTTTTTACGGAACGTATTAAAAAATATTTCATTAACTGCATTTTTTTTGTCTAGTACGAGGCAGGTGATTGAAAGGCGTGGTTTACTACCGGAAAGGATTGACAAATTGGATTCAACTCCATCATTTTATCTGCAGGTTACTGGTGCTTTTAATTCCATATTTTCTTATTGGAATATATCATAGTCTTAAAGGATTCTTGGGTAAGGAGATAAGCTGTTGCAAACAAATGAAAAGGAATATATTTTTTTTGTAGGTGTAGAGAATGAGAATCATAAAATTAGGTATTGAATGGTGATAATGAAAAAGCACTTTCAGTTACAAAGATATTAATGATTTATTACTTATCCGGAAAAAAAGATATTAACGATTTATTAAAAAGAGTTTATGTTATTGATAAGAGTAAATAATGAACACGGATTTATTAAAAAAGAATATATATTTTTTGTCGGGTCGGATTCATGTAACATTCATTAGGACACAAATTAAAGAAATATGTCATATTCTCCGGTTATTTTCACCTTATCTACTTGGGTGAAGCAGTATCACATGAAACATCTGACATGGAATACTTCTTAGAGAAGACACTTTTCATTACAACCTTGTTTTATGAGTGAGTTGTTTTGTAACTGTTGTTATAAATGTCGGCTGTTTCAAGTAAAGATTGCTTTGAATAGTAGTTATTTTGAACATGAGTTGGTCCTCCAGTATGAAGTAATCCTTTAGGTGACCTAGTTAATTTATGGTGGCATGCATCGTTTGATGTCCGGGAAATCTAACATTGAATAGGAGATATTCTTAACATGAGTTGCTTTTGGAAAATGTCGTTTTGAACTTAGATGGTTATTTTTAGAGATTGCTATTCGAATTTTATTCGGTTTGATTCGAACAGTGCAATTCGTTTGATGAAGAACTAAAATAAGGAAAACAAAAATGAAGATCTATGATAGATGTGGAGGCTCTCAAACTGATAGACCTGTCGTGAGTGCAGGAAAGCGAGGTACAGTTCTATATGATTGTTCTAAATGAGTTATTCTGAGTGACATTTATTCTAAACATGAATTGGGTTACATGTAGTTATTTTTTAATGAAGGTTGATATTTTTTTGGTAAAGAATTTTGTATGATTGATAAAATAATATCATACAAAATAGAACATCGTTAGGGTTTCGTTAAAAAATCTTTCTAATCTTGATCGAAGTAAAAAAGTGTACCTAAATGATGTCAAGAAGATTCAACTCTCACGTCAGTTACGAAACACATGGGTCCCAACACTCAAATACAGTAAAAGCCTCTTTAAGAACGTTACAAATACAAATTACAATAGTTTTTTGAATTAACTTTAGAACAATCTCTAACGGAGAGAAATATTAGTATAAAACTTAAATATCTACTCGCAGACTATGCGAAGTCATCTATTTTTATTTGTAAAATAAAAAAGGTGAATGTGTATCAAAGATCAATCAGATGAATTATGCACATCTAAGAATCTTTTGCTTGGAGTATGTGAAAGTAGCACGTTCATGTTCTTTCTTTTGAATAACATAAGATATTATAAAATAATATTTGTTCAGAAATTTTCTTATCCATTAATGTACACAGACGTAAATATAACTGTTTGAACTTAAAATTTCTTAAAAGAAACTCTCTCCTTCAACCATTGAATCCACTTGATAGTATTTATTGTGAAACAGCGACATCTAGTAGCCCATTTCTCATCCTACTTGCTTGGAAACCGAAACCCATTTTAACGAACAAGTTTCCCTTCTGGTTTGTTTTAGCTTGAAAGCGCCACACGTAACATATTGAGCAAGGAAGTTGCAGAAAAGACCCGAGAACTGAGGTAAATATTTCTAGAGTATGGTAGGTTGGTAGTTTGTGGAATATTGGGTGTGACTCGATTGTATTGATTATATTCTCGTGGTAGTTCGGGTATATGTTGAGTTTAAAAAGATATTCTGCCTTTTTTAGTATTCTTAAATTTTTCGTCGTCTTTCGTTGGTATTTATCCTAGGTTTTAAATTCAATCTTGGTTGCAGTGTTTGTTTCAGTATCAATTTGGAGATCTTTTAGCAGAAAGATAAGGGGTATGACTCCAGTAAGAGAAATATTTTGGAGTTTTATGTTGCCTTATTATTTTTATTTAGGTGTCGACCTTGTACTAATTCCCTTGAAGATCGTTTTATATCCACTGTGTAGATTTTATATTAAATAAAATATTTGCTGTGTAAAAAAAATCTAAATATTTACTGCTTCTGTTGCTGCTGATATATGAACTGTCATGGTGATATTGTGCCATTCATTCATTGACAGACAGCTGAGGGGAGAAGAACTCGAAGGATTAAACCTAGAAGAGTTGAAACATCTAGAGAAATTACTCAAAACCGGCCTAACCCGAGTCACAGAAACAAAGGTTTTTCCAACTCCAACTGATCTCCTAATCTTTGCTTTTCAAAGGTTTTATTGCTAATGCTGAAGTTTGTTTCAGGATGATCTATGTTTGAAAAAAATCAGCAGCCTTAAGAGGAAGGTGATATAAATAGCTAATTTATAACAATTCCTAGGATTTATAAGTATTCCCGTGTATGCATGTCATGTTTTTTAATAGTATGCAGTAATTGTAAGGTATTATTTGGTATTATTTGTTCATATTCGTTCTTAGTCATTGATAATGCATACACCCTACAAATATAATTATTTGGATTCGGATTCACTAGAGAGAACAACGCTCTCTTTTATCACTTAGGCTGAGATAACCTCTGATTGTTAGACTATGGAAAGCAAATGCTTCTGCATTCAAAGAATTTAATGGCTATTTTATTGTTTTCTCAGTAACTTTTGTCTGAAAAAAATAACCTACTACTCATCGTTGTTGAATTTGAAGGGAGCAGAACTCAAGGAAGAAAACCAGAAATTGAAACAAGTGAGTGTTGAATCATTTTTGGAAACTTGGTTGTTTCTCGTTTTCAAGGTAGTTCTATTGTGTGACGGTTTATTTATAGTGGACTTTAATCTAAAATGTTATTTTGTCCAACCTAAAAACATATACAATTAATAATAATTTCAGTTACAACTGAAAATATTAAGTTACATCGATTTTTAACTTAAAATATTATTTGTTTACTCTAAAAGGTTACATAATTGGTGATAATTTTAGTTACAATTGATAATGTCTTGAAGGTAACTTTTAGGTTTGCAATCGGATAATCATGCAATTTACATAATTTGTTGTAGAGAACGTAATATGTTCAGTTTCTAGCTAAAATGTTATTTTGCCCAATTTAAAAAGTTTTGCTCTTGATATGTTTTTCGGTTACAATAGATTTTTATCATTTTTTGGTTGTATTTTATACTCGTTCATCGCTTTCAATATTGTATTTCACAATATGCTAGGTGGAGAACTTACCTCGTGCGGTCCAAGAAATTGTAGGGCATCAAGGCCAGCCATCAGAGCCAGTTGCCCTAGTTCACACATCTAGAGACCCTCGGCCTCATGGATACAACTATAGCTCTGATATTTTCCTCACACTGGGGTATGCAGTCCTAAAAAAGTAGGGTTATTTGTACTATATTGATAATATATGCTTATGTATCTGGTATAGTCCGACTTGAGATTATCATCCAATGCCTTTCTTTTTGCAGGTTACCTTTCCCTAACTGATAGAAAGATTAGAGGGGATGTTGTGATGAAATGATCATCTTCCTGCATAATGTCTTATCTTTGAAGGACCATTTTATCCAAGTAAATATAGAACCTAACTAGTTTATTTTAATGTACTTGTGTATCGATAGTCTCGAGATAATTAATTTTTATTGATGCTTAAGGAAGATGTTGAAAGGGGATATCCAACGCTATCTGCTTCCAGCAGTCAAATGTGTATAGATAAAGATCGCTCTAAAATAGATTTTTACATTATTCAGTATAAATTAATCAGATATCAATGATTAAATAAGAAAAACTAATTATTCGATTGAGATCTCCACGTCACTAGTGTTTGCTATAAGCTCTATTTTAAAACTTTTTGTTGCGGAATACAACTATCAGACAGAGTAAAATCGTAATTGATAATTTGAAAAAATAAAAATGAAGATAACGAAAACATAAATTTTACGTGGAAAATCCCTAAATAATATAGGGTAAAAATCACGGGCAAAGATATAAGAATTTTACTATAAGAAAATAGGAATTACAACTTCTCTTAATCTAATAAGGAGAAAACAATAACAACTCTCTCTTGATAAAAAGGAGAAAACAACTCTCAAGAAAACTCTCTAAATTCTCTAGTATTGGGAGAAAACTAAAATGATTTGGGATAATTTTGAAGTTAAATGGGTTAAGGTATTTATAGTTGAAGCTTAAAGATTAATCTTGTAAATACCTTACAGTACATGAACTAAATTTGGTAATTTTCCCTTACCAAATTTTCAACAAAATTAGGTGCTTTTGACCACTGCACCATTCGATGCATTAATGCACCGAAAAAAATCTTTGACTTTCAACAATCTCTCACTTGAAGATTTGATTGGAACAATCATATATTCATACCATTCTTTCTACCTTGTACCTTCATGTTGCTCACGTTTCTGTCAGGTCACAAGAAGATCGACATCAAGTAAATTTATCAACATTGATCATCTTCGCATTAAATCTGCTATGTTGTCTTTGATATGGATCTTCTGCATATCTACCGTCCATTCTTCCACTTTTCACGAATGAAATTATACTGAACTCGTATGTGTTTTGTCCTTGAATGAAATGCTGGATTCCTTGCTAGATGCAATGGGCTTTGACTGTCACAAAGCAGAGGGACATACTCTTGATTGTGCCCAAGCTTCTCCAATAACATCTTCAACCAAATTGCTTCTTTACTGGCTTGTGTAGCTGCTATATATTCTACCTCCGTTGTGGATGTAGTCACAACTGACTGCAAGTTTGAAACACAGCTTACAGCTCCACTAGCAACTTTGAACACATATCCTGTAGTAGATTTGCTTTTATCCAAATCCCATGCATAGTCAGAATCAACATACCCATTGATAAGTAAATCTGATCCTCAGTAACATAATGCAATATTTGAGGTCCCTTTGATGTATCTCAAAATCCTTTTTACGGTATTCCAATGCTCTTTGCCTGGATTCTCCATGTACCGACTAACCACTCCTACTGCTTGTGCAATTTCTGGTCTTGTGCATATCATAACGAACATTAAACTTCCCACTGCCGATGCATACAACACTCGAGACATCTCCATCCTTTCCTTTTCATAGCTAGGACTCATACTGGAGGATAATTTGAAGTTAATAGGAAGAGAGGTAGAAATTGGCTTACAATCTTGCATGTTGAATCGTGACAAGATCTTCTTCAAGTAGTTCTTTTGTGCAAGCCAAATCTTCATATTACTTCTGCCTCGATGAATTTGCATCCCTAGAATCTTGTTTGCTGATCCTAAGTCCTTCATTTCAAATTCCTTAGCCAGTTGTGCTTTCAATTCTTTAATATGATCTTTGTTGAGTCTTGCAACCTACATGTCATCCACGTACAACAACAATATAACCAAATCGTTATCACCAAACCTCTTGAAATAAGCACAAGGGTCTGCATTAAGTCTGTTGTATCCAAGGCACATAATGAAGGAATCAAATCTCTTATACCAACACCTCGACGCCTGCTTTAGATCGTAGAGAGATTTGTTCAACCTGCAAACCAAGTTCTTATTTTCTTTTTCTTCAAAACCTTCAGGCTGGAGCATATAAATATCTTCTTCAAGATTTCCATGAAGAAAAGCTGTTTTAACATCTAGCTTCTTTAGATGTAAATTTAATGTAGCACACATTGCCAAGACTACTCCAACTGTTGTTAGTCAAATCACATGAGAAAAGATTTCATTGAAATTAATACATTCTTTTCAAGCATATTTTTTGACCACCAGCCTTGCACGATACCTCTCCACTTGATTGTTACCATTTCACTTGATTTTGAAGACCCATTTGTTACCAATTGGCTTCCTTCCTTGTGGTAGTGACACAAGGTCCCATGTATTATTTTTATGAAGGGCTTTAATTTCTTTTTGCATCGTCATCATTCACAATGAAGCATATGAGTTGTTTATTGCCTCCTAGAATGTTGATGGCTCACAGTCCTCTGTTAAAAGACAGTATGCAATATTTCCTTCTATAACATAATCTGAGTGCCAATTGGGACGTCTTTTCATACGATCTGATTGACGAGTTGTTGGATCTTCATAACTCTCTGGTTCTTGTTCATCATGTGTTGGTTCTGCTTCAGAAGAATCTCCTAGTTCAAACTCCTTTTCCACATATATATGTGTAGTCTCTGACTTTTCAGCGCTATCATCTTCTTATTTTCTTTGTATTTTATCTTCTACAAAGATAACATCCCTGCTGATGGTCACTTTACGGGCAGTAGGATCCCACAAGCGATACCCCTTTACACCATCAACATACCCCAAGAATTTGCATTTCCTGGATTTTAGATCCAACTTTGAAATTTCTTGGGAGTTGTACATCACGTACACAATACTTCCAAATACATGGAGGTTTGAATAATTAGCTGGTTTACCAGTCCACATCTCCATTGGTGTCTTCAGCTCTATTGCAGTTAATGGAGCTCGATTCACCAAATAATAGGCGGTATTGACTGCTTCTACCCAAAATGATTTTTCTAGGCCTGCAGCCCTCAACTTTTCTCTTGTATTTTCTAACAAGGTTCTGTTCATCCGCTCTGCAACTCTATTTTGTTGAGGAGTATTTGCCACTGTGAACTGTCTTTTGATGCATTATTTCCTACGAAAGTCATCAAATTCTTCACTTGTGTATTCTCCTCTATTATATGTTTGCAAACACTTGATCTTATTTCCAGAATCAAGTTCCACCCGTGCTTTGAAGTTTTTAAAAGTTGAAAACACATCTGACTTCTTCTTAATAGGGTACACCCAACATCTCCTAGAGTAGTCATCAATAAATGAGACAAAATATTTTGCTCCGCCTAGGGATGCAACTGGTGCTTGACATACGTCAGAATGAACCAATTCTAGAACACTTTTACCACTAGAATTTGGCGTGTTGAATTTTAACTGGTACTTCTTACTTGTTATACAATGCTCACACAAAGTAAGTAATACCTTTGTTAAGCCTGAAAGTAGCTTTTGCTCCACAAGGACTTTCATTCCTTGTTCTGACATATGTCCAAGTTTCTGATGCCATAGCATTGAATAATCTGAACTACATGAGGCAACAAAGGCTTCTGCTTCTAGCAAAGTTTCTCCCTTCATCATGTACAAGTTTGCTGCTATCTTTTCGCCTTTCATAACCATAAGCGCTCCACGGAACACCTTCACGATTCCTTTCCGCGTTTCAATCTTGCTTGTATTATTATCCAACAATCTATATGATAATAAATTTTTCTTCAGGCCTTTCATGTGCCACACATCTCGAACAACATTAATTGTTCCATCATACATCTTTAATTTGATGGTTCCAACGCCAACGATCTCTAAGGCATGATTATTGCAACTATACACAGATCCTCCTGAGACAGGTTCATAATGAAAGAACTATTCTCTTCTTGAGGTCATGTGATGTGTTGCTCCTGAATCAATGAGTCATATATTTGCAAATCTCTTTCTACCTTCCATGGTGGTTGACGCTTCACAACATAGAGCATCTCCATCATCTGAAGTGTTTGCTGTATTGCCTTGTGGATTGAAGTTTTTACCTAGACTCCAACAATTCTTATTCAAGTGACCCTTCTTTCCACAGTTGTAGCACTTTAAATTTTTCTTACTTCTTGACTTTGATCTACCATATTTGTGACTGCTGCTTTGGTCATGTTCTGTTGATCTCCCTTTCATCGTTGTCAACGCTTCTGCTTGTTGCAGATTTACTTGTCTGTCTTCCTTGCTCTTGCGCCAATTTTCTTCTTGTAGAACAGTAGCTGCAACGTCATCGAAGACTAGACTGGTGACATTACTGTTTGTCAAGTTGATGATGAGTTGATCATACGAATCAGGTAGACTTTGAAGTAGAAGTTCATCACGTTCTTGTTCTCTTATTGTACATATTAAGGATGTAAGCTGAGAAAATAAAGTGTTCAGTGTGTTTAAGTGTTCCGTCATTGAAGTAGATTCTGACATACGGAGAATGTACAATTTCCTCTTAAGAAAAATTTTATTGTGCAACTATATGGCCTCGTACAGTTTGGTGAGATGATCCCATATATGCTTAGTTGTCCTCTTCTCCTCGATGCTTGACAATACTTCATCTGCTAATGCTAGATGAAAATTTGCCATATCATTTCCGTCCATTTCGATATCCATTTGTTGTCATTTGTGAAATCTATCGGCCTTTCACTGATAGCTTCTAGACAACCGTCTTTCCTCGGGATGACCTTCATCTTTAATTTTCACAATGAGAAATTTCTCCCATTGAACTTTTCAATATCAAATTTCGTTACCATAGCTTCTATTATGGATAGCTCCTATTATTTCAGTATCATGAATAGTTATCTGGAACCTTCAAAGAATGTGTAATAACTTCTTACTTTCTTATGTTGGAGGATCCACCTTTTGGTGGCAACCACAAAGACAATAAATAGATATTACACACTCAAATCTGGCTCTGATACCAATTGTTGCGGAATACGTCTATCGGATAAAGCAAAATTACAACTGATAATTTGAGAAAAATGAAGATAAAAAAGACACAAATTTTACGTGGAAAACCCCTAAATAATATAGGGTAAAAATCACAGGCAAAGATAGAAGAATTTCACTATGAGTAAATAGGAATTACAACTTTTCTCGATCTAACAAGAAGAA